ACGTGTCTTTGTGTAAAAATCTAACAAATTTCAACAATAAAGTAACTATCCAAAAACAGTCACCGCATAAATCTGATTGGACATAATTATTGATTTGGAGAGAGGATTACTCACCAAGGAGGAAACCAGGAGGTGAGTGGCGACGACCGCAGCTACGGCTAACCAGCGCTGCTTCTCACAGCCGTCGAAAAAGATGATGCCCCAGAACATGTGAAGCAGGATGATGGCCATGGTCATAAAGGCTGAGGAATTTAAAAACAAACGTGAGGGATATTTTAAAAATCCTTTGTTTTGTTGGGAGTCTAACATTAAAAAAAAACACAAAATGCTAGTAAAGCACTTTTGGTCTATCTTCTCGTGCAAATATCTTAATACACTTGAAATATGACAAAACTTAGTGACAAGTAACTGTTCTTGAAGATATAGGAGATTGATTCAAGTAAATAATAATTTCTTATTGTTGTTGAGAAAGTTCTAGTTCCACTGGCAGATTATTTCACTTTCAACAAGAAATTTCTCCATGTTATAAGTGAATTATTCAGACGGACTGGGATGAGCGGGGGTTGCTAGGTAACGGACTGGGCTGAGCTGGGGTTGCTAGGTAACGGACTGGGCTCCGCTGGGGTTGCTAGGTAACGGACTGGGATGAGTTGGGGTTGCTAGGTAACGGACTGGGATGAGCGGGGGTTGCTAGGTAACGGACTGGGATGAGCGGGGGTTGCTAGGTAACGGACTGGGATGAGTTGGGGTTGCTAGGTAACGGACTGGGCTCCGCTGGGGTTGCTAGGTAACGGACTGGGCTAAGCTGGGGTTGCTAGGTAACGGACTGGGCTCCGCTGGGGTTGCTAGGTAACGGACTGGGATGAGTTGGGGTTGCTAGGTAACGGACTGGGCTCCGCTGGGGTTGCTAGGTAACGGACTGGGCTAAGCTGGGGTTGCTAGGTAACGGACTGGGCTCCGCTGGGGTTGCTAGGTAACCCGTGCAATGTGACCTAACAAACGACTAATTTTCCTGTAAGACATGAGAAAAATGTTGGAAGTGAAATAAGCTGACAGTGGGACTTGCACTTTTTCATCAATAACAGGGAATTATTGATTAAAATAAAGCTCCTATATCTTGCTGATATAAACTATTAAATGAGTTTTATTTTATCTCAAATATACTAAGATATTTGCACTAGAAACTAATTAACATTGCTTGGTAAGAATGTGTGTTTTTACAGTGTGAGCATCAAACCTACATTCTCTACAAACTGAGGTTATTAAGTATAAATTGCTTTAGTTAAACTTCTGGTTTAGTTTTCAATGGCATTTTTAATGTTACGTTTATATAAAATTACGATAAATTCTGTAATAAAACAGAAAAAGATCAAGTCAGAAAAATAAGCCTGAATGTCTCAATTTGAACTCAGGTTTTCTATGAGATGAACATCTGTAGGCATTAACATCAGAGTTTAAAATGCGGAGCATTCAGGAAGTGGTACCTGATGACAGGAAGTAGTGTTGAGAGTCGCCGTGGATGCCCACAGTGCCTGGACCCACAGAGTCGGCCAGGATGTTGACCACAGAGAACGCTCCGCTCATAAAGCCGAAGCCGAGGCCAGACACTGTCACAGAACCAAAACAAAGCGTAAAAAGTTCCCTCTGGAAACCTAATATAGCCAAAACCTCTCTCTGTAAAAATGTTTTATTTACACAAAAGAATCCTAGACGCAACTTTTCTATTGTGTTTCTGGTACGCACATCAATCTGACGCACAAGCGACAGTAATAATAATAATAATAGAGTTTATTTATAATCCCTTTTATATCTTTAGATCTCAAAGTGCAAAACAAGCACAACAAGCAGTTGTAATGGAAAAAAAAATTAAATTAATGAATACGTAAGAAAATTAACCAAATATTTTGCTAAAATGAAATGTCTTAAAGGCGACAAAACTGATTCTCTGGGGATAATTTCTGCTAAAAAAAACCCAATCTGATTGGAGGCTAAAAAAACTGTTATTACATTCAAGTTGTGCTAAAAGGAATTCGCCTATCAACAAACCTAATTAAACCTAAAACAGCGTCTCAATGCTAGACAAATAGCAGCTAGCAAAGACGCTGACATTAACGTCATTAATTTTGATTTCTAAAGAAGCTCCATCAATGCTGGAAAGCTAAATCTAAAAATCTAAAAAAAAAGCACTGTGCACCAATTTGATGGTGAAATAATCAAAGATTAAAAACAATAAATATCTTTGATGTTTATACATTTAATCGTTTTGAATCACAAGTGTTACTTATGTTGTCACTCATGGTTTCTATTAAAACTAAATTAATTACAGACAATCAGTAATTCTAATTAAGATTCACCACTAATTATTATTTAAATGAAAGGCCAGCTGATCCGTACCGTAGGCGAGCTGTCGTATAGATATTGGCATCGTTTCCTCTTGACTCAAAGCAAGTAGGCCTTCATTTGCTTTCCTGTAGAAAAAAATACATTTGACATTTTCTCTCACTTTTGTCAAGAATATGTTTAAAAACAAGCTGGAAAACAAGTGGAAATGTTCCATTTTGTTTAACAGATAATAGAGTCGGTGTGGTGGGAAGACGCTGGAGCAGCTTACTTGAGCAGTTTGTAGTAGGCGAAGCGGAAAGTTTCCTGCAGCAGGACGGACAGCACCACACCGAATGAGCAGACCCTTCTGCTGTGACGCGCTCTCCTTGTTACTGATCTGAACCGAGATGAACCACACCAGGGAGGCCAGCAGCAGCGACACCAGCCAGAAGAATGCCCTGGGAGGAAAAAACAAACACAAAAACGAGAAAAATCTCAGTTATAATCTCCAACATGAAAACATTAAAGAATGCATATGAGGTATTTTAGCAGAAAAAAAATTATAAGCTTTTCAAGCAGAGAGGTAGATGGCTAATAAGGTAGGATCTCAATCGCTGCATTTATTTAATTCAAGTGAAAATATTGGTATTTGGAACAAGAATGGCAATAATTCCTAAAAGTAAAAAAATTCACAAAATCAGGCAAAAGAAAATGTTTCCAAATCAGTTTAATACAATACAAAACATGTTAGTTTTTTTTATTCAGTGGGTAGACAATCCAGAAACTTTGCTCGACCAAGAGAAGCGATGTTTTTCATAATACAATTACTCAATTAAACGTAAAACATGCAGAGTAATGTAATGTATTCTGGGTGTTTCGCGATGCCAGTTTTCTAGTAAAGCTTTTTGCAATTAGATCAATAAGTCAAACTTTGGTATTATATAATGAGATTACTTCCCAATATTTTCTACATTTTCCTCGTGATTAGAAACATTAAAAACATGCAAGACACTGAATATCAAGGATTGACAAGCAGTTAGGTATAGGCTTGTACTTGAATAAAGGAGATGCTGTCTGAGGCGTATTTCCAATATCGGACAAACTGTTAGCCTGCCTCTTTTCTTCTAAATAAATCAAATTAATTAGTCTCTCTCTGATTGCAAATATATTGTTTTGAGTATGATCATGACAAACGTATGTCTTCTAATAGTGGTGAATACATCCATGCACTTCAAACGGGAAGTAAACAAAAGCTATCATTAGCAGCCCAAGACAATTAGCTAGCCGGTTAGCAGCGATAGTTAGCACGTTTTTATTTTATTTTGTTCAGTGACCTGACAGAAAAATACTCCATAAACTATTTTAGCACCAACAAAACCGTCAAATGAAGCTGCTTTCTGACCCCGCGATAAGGAAGATGACCCTCAGCGGCTCCCGGGCGATGGTGAACAGGAACAGGGAGACGGCTGGGCCGAAGGCGATGAACGTGCAGCCGAAAAACACCGCCGCCGTCATGTTGGCTCGGTAGCTGGAAGGCCTAGTGGCTCCAAAACCCGGTTCGGTTCTGTTCACAGCGAAACCGCAGGGGTTTGTCTTTATTTTTGACCAAGTAACCCCGAGTCTGAGCGCTGATTCTCCTTCCTAATTTCACTTCGGTATCACAGGATTCACAGGACGTCACGTCGCACTCTGTCACGTGACTCGCTGTGGAGGCGGGGGGGGGGAAGGGGTAATTCATTTGGCCCAAGCAGCAAAGCGCTGCGAAGGCCTGTGGTTTTTGTACTGTTTATTACGGTTCTCCCTCCAAATGAATTTGCTTTTTGGAGCCTTTATCATACTCAAAAACTCACCAAACTTGGCGGAGGCCTTAAGCCTGTATAAAAATAAAGACAGGGACCTGATCATTGAGCCCCGCCCCTCACGCAAAAGTGACGCAAAGGGGGTCGAATTTTCACGGACTCGTGAATGGAGGGTGGTTCGCATTTTAGCGTGTAATTGTAGTTCATAGGTTTGAAATTGTTTATCTCAAGGAATCTAAGGCGGGTCGCGAACCAGCGACCCACAGGGTCGCGCCGGTCCTCCGCAATATGTACCTGTACAGTAATATGAACTTATAAGAACTTAAGCCTTCTGACGCCTCAGTGTAACTGAACTGTTAGGCTGCTCTTTGACCTTTCAAAGACTAGCCTGAAATCCCACAGGAGTCAAAGTTCAAGGGATGAGCCCCTGCTATTCAGTAAACGTTGCATGCTTCAGATCAAAACAACTAAAAGTAGCACAACAAACTGATTCTGTGAACAGGATTTATTCAAAGAACACACTTCCACTTATAATCAATGGTATCTTGTACTATAAATTGGAGGAAAAAAAATCACAATAAAAAATGCACAAGTATACTGTAAAATGTAATAGTATATCTTACTCTGAAAGAAAAGTGACTTTAATTCATTCTAGCTTACTCTGTTGACTATACTAACTTACACTTAGCAAAGACAACTTTCTACTGTGGCAAGTAATCAAACTCATCAGCAGCAAGTAACCCGAACCTGGAGTTATGAGTGAGCAAGACGCATCTGCATGACCAGCAGAAAACTCGGCATCATTCGGCAGCTCTCGTTGAACGCACATGCGCAGTTGGCCACTGACGAATGACGACGTGTTTGAAGAAGCGCCAAACTGTCAAAAAGACGGCGGTTGCTGCACCTAAATTTTGTCACGGTAAGTTCCACTGGTTTTTAGCAAACTTATATTCGTTATCTCGGCCGTATAATTCATCCGTATCTCCAGGTTTTGAGTTTAACTTTAAGTGTAATGATTTAGCGATGCCGGGGACTAACGTTAGTCGAAAATATGTTTTATTTAGTGGCAACAAGATGGCAGAGAAAAAAGTTGTCCAGGGCGCAAAAAAAAAAGAAAAAGGATAAAGATGTTGGCGGGATTAAAAAAATCCTTTCAGTGTGGTTGAAAGTTAGTAGGCAAGCTAACATGGAAACAAAGTTTTCCATAGACTTTTACAGAAAAAAGAGAAATGACATGACTTTTTTTTTCTAGGGCAGCCTTCAATAATATTGAATCCTTCAAATGGCCCTGAGTCTTTAAAACTTTGAGAATCCCTGCTTAAATGTCTTTGTTGACTGGCGTGAAACAAAAACTCAATTCTCAATAATAGAGCCTAAGATTTATCATAACATCAATTAAGTGAATAGTGAAGTAATGTTTCTCCTCATTAACATAAAACATTTAGTAGTCTGCAAGTGCAATGAGGCTCCCACCGAAAAAAAGAATCAAACAGGAAATAAAAATCACTTTTCCACTAAGGGTAAAGGAATCAACGTTGATCCATAATGTCACATCACATTCACTCATTGCATCAGAAGATTTTTGAGTGATTATATTTTTGGTTTTAGGGATTTATGTCCAAGTGAGAGAAGCACCCTTTGGATGAAGTCAAAGTGTACTTCAGTTGTTGAGGGTACTCCAAATTCAGAGCAGAAATAAGTCTACTGCCATCATTTTGGAAAGAAGTTTTGTCATGAATGACCTTGGAAATCTTCCACATGCCACGTGCTTGCTCTTTGGACTTATTTTAAATATTAAGACTACCACTTGTAGTGAACTTGACAAGAAAGAAAAAAGCCTTTCAGTGTGGTTGAAAGTTAGTAAACATGGGTTAGCTTGCAAGCTAACGTGGGTTAGTGTGTATGTAACCGCACTTGAGTTTAAGGTAAACTTGTTTAATTATTTAAAAAAATTTCCATTCAAAATGTTGTCTGTTGGCTCTTCGTTTCAATAACTTAACACTTTAGGTTCATCTTACTTGAACATATCAAGGCAATCGGTTTTCTAATATTTTGCAAGTAATGTGAACGCTTAAACGTGTAAGCATAACTTATTTTTATGAGTACTGCTTAATTGACATAACTCACAAATTGAAGTAGTCATAATTGACATTTTATAAGTATAAATAAGTTAAAACTCAACCTTACTAATGATTTTGAGTTACCTATACTCAGGTTTACTGCCATTATCTGAGTGGTCTAAACATAGTTATTTATAGCTATAACACCTTAACATGAATTAGTTACTTGGAGATTTTTAGGCAATCGGTTTCCTAACTTTTTTTAGTAAAGTGAACTATTACATTTTACAGTGCAAAATCCTGGTGGACAATGAGACTCAATCTGCCAGAGAACTATAGAAACAGAGAACATTTAGTTTTCAGCAAGTCAATGACCTGAAGAAGTGGCCGTGGAGGAGGAGGATGCAGTGACGGTGGGCAGGAGACGGAGCTTGTCTCTTCTGCACGTATGCTTTGAAAATGGCCATGTTGGTGTCTGGCCTGGCGTTGGCCTTTGTTGGTTGTTCTGCAGCGGATATCCCATTATTCCCCGTGGAATCACTGGGTTCTTCTGTACCGTGTGAATACATCTTTGCAGATGTATTAACTTACTTATGTAAAGATAAGAGACAGGAGACATTATTAATATTAACCAGCAACCAGACTGCCCTGCTCTGCCCAAACACTCAGAGAAAGAAGGGAGGAGGCTCGGCCTTTATTACCTTTTATAAGTGCGTAATCTTCCGCTTCACAAAATAGTGACAACATAAATACAATAGTGGCAAACATCATATTCAACAGCCTTCTTCAGGTAGCTGATGAGAGCTTGGGCCTTCCTGCTTGGGTCCTCATACACCTCCTTTGTGGACCTGCCTGGGTGTCTGTCACCATCAGACACCCAGAGTCACCGGTCTTCTGGGCCTCCAGGAGCACGGCCTGGTTCTTCTGGAACACCTCCACAGCTTCCCCCACCTCCCTGATCTGGGAGGTGTACTTGAGGAAAAGGTGCTTATTGGCCAACAGCGGGCTGTCCTTCTCCTCTTTCTCATCATGCTCCTGACCAGATACACTGCATAGCCCAGCGAGTTTTCAAGAAGTCACTGGAACCTCTGGCCCTGGTACTTCCCAAACTGAATCTTGCAGTGGGCCAGAACCAAGAACTGGTCAGTAGGATCCCCTCCACTGTGCCTCACAAAAGCAGTGGCCTCAGCCAGAACCTCCTTATGGCAGGCCCTCCCTGCCACAGCACCTTCACTCCGGTTTGCCTCCTCAGTTGGGCCCATAAGGAGTCGACCCTGAGGAGTTCTACGGAGAACTGGATATGCATGCATGTTCTGACAGGGAAAAAGCATAAATAAGTATTAAAAATTAAATATAAATACCGTTTTAATTAATAACACAATCATTACACTGGATTTATGTCACTTTTTTCACTCAGCATGCTCTGAAGCAATACCACATAGCAGTATGATTTATTATAAAATAATGTAGGATATTGTCATTTGTAGCACTATTATGTTGCCCACATTATCTGGACAGCAGGACCTGGCAAAACAACGCTTTACTATAGGCGGACAAAAATTCATTGTAATACATTTGATGACAAGAAATAACACATATTGGTGTAATCGTCTTACAGAATTATGTGCAATTTATGTTTTCTTTTTTTTTGGTGGTGGTGGACAAAATCACACACGAAGCCCCTAATATCGTTCTCCTCCCCACAATAACATGTTTATCTAACTTCGGGTAGATAAACACGAAATCTGATACACACTTAGCTGTTGCAAAGAAAAACATTTAAACTTACCGATCGCCAAAGTATTTCAAGGAATTATCGATTAAATGATTCTAACTCTTCATCGTCAATGCGCCAGGACGTGGAAGGTGATTGGTTAAAGAGTGAGCCACAAGCTCGGGATGTGATTGGCCCACCCAGATATGAAGGGTTAGGGTCAGGGTTATTTATATATAAATGATCTTATGTTTGAATGAGGCACAATGCTGCAGCAGAAAGCTCAGAGTTAAATCACAACATCCAGTACAACAAGGACACAGAGTCAGGTGTGAAGCACCACTCTGCCCACTTCGTGCCTGTGGTTATGTCTGCAGCACTGCAGAGATAATCATCACTTCCATCCATCACTTTGGATGGAATAAAAAGCTGCCTGTGGGTACTTTTACACAACACGATGAAAAAAGCAAGCTAAAAATTCTTAAATGCAAACAGAAAGGTAACAGCAAGTCAGCCCTTTTTTTGAGGTAAAAGGAGAACAGAAACATTTTAGCTATTTAAGAAAACAGACGACAAAACTGGGACATGTCTAAACTAATAACAACCGCAAACAAACCGCAAAAAGAACTAAGAAAAGTGACAATATTAAGTATTGATCCTTTGCACGTAATGTCACGCTCTCAGAAACTTGGCCACGACCGACGTCAAAACAACCAATGCCCTCCACTTTATCATATTCAAAACCTCACCAAACTTGACCCAAAAAACTCACTGAAATCGATCCTTGTCCACCCCCCAACAGGAATGTGGTTCCATATTTGGTGTGTGTGGCCCAATTCCTCCACAGCACACCCTAGAATATCCTTAAAAATCAGCCTCAAGCCACAATTTATCAAAAAATTATGAAACTTGGCACACATTTGAAAGAGGAGTTTGATTTAGGTCAAAATCCTAGTGGCCAAAACTACTTTAAGCAAACGAGAGGGGAGAAGACTTGGGGAAAAGGTAAACTGGAAAAGCCAAGTAAACCAACGATCATCTTTTTGGACCGAACCAGAGAGAATCCACTGATTGGAGAACATGCAAACCCATGAAGGCAGAAGAACCCGGCAGGGATTCAAACCCAGACAATTGTTCTATTCACAATTCTACAGTTTTATAGTTTTGAACTCCCCAGAGGACTCTAAGTGGAAACTACAAGCCTGGAAAGTAGATTTAGGTGTGAACCTAACAATGGCAGAATGGCAACGTGTTTATATAAGAGCTTAGAAAAACAAACAATTAATTGACGTTTAAGGTTACTACAATATAAATGGTTAATGCGAACATATATTACACCAACTAAATTACATCAGTTCAACTCTAATATACCAGACATATATGCATAAAATGTTTGGAAGACAAAGGAACTTGGTTTCATTGTATATGGGAATGTAGGGAAATTCAAAAATTTTGGAAAGAAATAATCAATATCATAAAAGTTCTTATCTCAAAGGATGTCGCACTAGATCCGGGTTTTCTAATTTTAGGTTTGTATCCAAAAAATAATGTGTTTACCAAATGTGAACAGTTGTTAATTGATGTCTGTTTACTTCAAGCTAAAAGACTGATAGCACTTTTCTGGAAGAACACATCAAGGCCAGGGACAATCTAATGGACCAGACAAATGCTGAAAACTTACCACTGGAACGGATTACGTATCTCCAAAAAGGGAAAAGTGAACTCTTTGAAAACACTTGGAGATCCTTCTGGAATGTTGTTGAAAGAATGGACTTGTCACAAGATGGAAATGTCAGTTAAAGTCGAGTTTAACGTTGAAATGGAATGTCAAACAAAGGAGCTTCAACAGTGGACTACGCTTCATGTAGACTTAAAAAAAGATATATGCAGATACATATGTAACCAAGAGGGTGTTTGTTAGTCTTGTTTGTATTTGTTTAAGGCAGTTGTATTTGTAAAAGAAAAAAAATTAAAACAATAAAAATATTGTTGGAAAAAATTGTTCTATTCACAAAAATAAATGTTTTAATCACATTAAGCAGAATTTAGAGCCAAATTAACTAAACAGTCGTGATTTCAGACTGTGGCAGAAAGCCGGAGCGCCCGGAGAGAAACCTGCAAACAGAAAACCTGTCTAATCTTTTTATTACATGAATTAGATAAGACCCGGTCAGATTTCTCCAGCCTCCAAATGGTCACTAATTGTGTCTTTTGCAATTTTCTCATATTCCAAGTTATTTATGTTTGGCTCCTCTCCAAAAGCGCCTTGGTCGTCTGGAAGAGGAGGGGCTGGAGAACCTGTAACATCAGGTGTAACCAACTAATGTTTCCTTACCTTTTCTTAAATGTTCAAAAATCCCATTTGATTCATGTCTTCACTGCAGTGGTTATCTGCAGTGAAGACATGATTGTTTTCTGCCTTCACAATTTGCTGTTCTCCCATCAGATAGGTGTAAAACTGGGTCGACTCTGGACCCTCGCAGATTACGGAGGGCAGACAGTACTGCTCCGTCCCGCAGGCAGACTGTGCGGGCACATCCACAGTCTAGATGGCTGTCACTGGATGTATTCTGGTCCGCCTCGGGAGAAAAAACACCAGAACGTTGTTATCCGCCAAATGGTGTTTCTTCTCCAAGGCAGACTCGCAGCCTGAGCAATGGCGTCTGCCTCCCAATTCCAACCAATTGTTAAAAAGCGTAACCATATCAATTGGAAAGGTTGCCGATGGCAGGGCAACCAAGGGGCCATTGCTCAGGAGCTCCAGGAAGTTGGCATCACAGACAGAGCAATTGTTGGCGCTGTACAATTCTCTGTCTGTGTCCCCGCCAAGTGAGTCCAACCAAACTAACAAGGACTCCAGAAAACATTTGACAGTGTGATCCCTTCCCATATCTGAAAACAGATTTTTCTCCTTCAGCTCTAGCAGAGCTGGGGAGAGGTCTGTTTCTGAGAAATGTCTGCCTGGATGGCGGACGGCTGCATGGATCAGACTTGCGCAGCAAGGAATATTTTGCTGGGCTCAAGCACAGATGACATCCGGAGTTGCTTTGCGAATTACAAAAAGGGTTTTATTTACCTTTATACAAAAGTCCGCCTGTCAACACTCGGTGCCTAATGCTACCCAGCAGAACGGAAGAAAAACAGTTTACCGCCGAGCAAACGGCACGTTCCAGGAACACACCTCACAGCGACGCATTCACTGACATAAAGGAAATATGAGTACCAAAGATCAATAGACAAGACAGACACAAAACCAAGTTCAGAAGGAATTAAGAAACTACAATGAATAATGATTGAACTTATCATAAACAAAGCAAATTGGGTGGGGTACCTAATAAACTAATAAATTCGGTGTCTCTCACAAATAGATGATGCCTCCAGAAATACCCGTTCCTGGGCAAGACACCATCCGGTGACACCCAGGTTCAGGAGGCTCTGGAAAGCGGCATTCATCCAACGACTGTTCAGTTCATTGGAGAACTTAAAGCAAGCCCGACTGGGTTTGTGTGAAAACAAACCCTGCTGACAGTGGAGAAGAAGAACTCTCCTCTATTAGGAAGAAACCTCCAGCAGAACCGGGCTCAGCACCAGCTGCCATCTGCCACAATCAACTGGAGGAGAGGGAAGACGGAGCAGAGACACAACAACAGGTCAGCTGATCGGGAGAACTGTCCATGTTCGTGAACTCAGGTCAGCCAATGCCCTCCTCCATGAAGCAACCACAGCCAATCAGAATGCCAGACCAGGTGTAGCTTCTACAGAGAGAAAACAAAAAGTTTAGTTTCTAACTAAGCTTCTTGGTTAGTTAGAAACACCAGAGAGTCACCTTCTGGCCTCTCTCCAGATCAGTTCAGGTCAGAGAAGGGAACTGTTTGTCTTTCTTTTTCCCCTTATCAGCCTGGTGCGCCACTGGGTTTTATTTTCCCCCCCATCAGGCTGTGGGTTGTTATTTTAAATAGGGATACACCGGTACGCCTGTCACAATAATAATTTTTGCTGAGCAATTGTCTCAAAAATTATTACGATAAACGATAGTATTGTTTGGAGACCTTTTTACACTGAGTTAATGGAAATTAGGTAATAATACATGTGATTTCCTGCCAAAGATGGATACTTTATTTTCAAAAGAACGCTTAATGCTGGAACTGATAAAAACAAAACAACCAAAAATAAAATGGATTCTCAGTCTCCATTTACAAAAAATGTACTTGAATAAAATCTAAACAACATAAAGCCAAAGTGGAAATAAATACTGCATTCAACCAAAAGAGTGCAGATTATGAAGTCTGTATATTATATTGGCCTTCAGTAATCATTAGATTTAAATATAGAAGACAGGCATATTCGACTGCCTGATGCAATAGCTCACACTACACGATTTTTAGCCCCAATCTTCATCTTCATGACAACCTTCGAACGTTGGTCATTCAAAGGTTGTCGCTTGCGATTTTGTAATCGATCATCATGTAGTGTGTGGTGTGTTATGGTAGGTCGTTGTGGCCGCACCTATCTAAATCGAGTTTTTTCCGACTGTTAACTCAGCCTGTTGAATGTGACAGGTAGCCAATCAGAAAGCATGGATTCCCCTCCGTGCTTTCAGAGGGGATATTATGGAAGAGAATCCCAAACATCTGACACAGCGCAACCCGAAGTCCAGCAGACATCTGAGATGAAACACCATTAATGTTTATTCAACATTTCGTGGAAAAAATATAGAAATTACAATATGGCATATAGAGTTGGAGCGAAGTTGATAAACCGGAAACTTCTCAGCTGTTCATCGTTAACGTGACATAAATAGTTTATAATGATTTTCCTTCAGTCAGGGCTTTACGCTGACAGTAGCCACTTGCATTGCAGGCAGATTGTAGTAAGACATTGATTAATGGTTTAAAATTGGTTAACTGGACTTGTAGCCATTATTTTGTGCCCATTGTTGGACACCACATGACGGGATCAAACCATTATGCCTAGGATCTCTGTCTGCTAGCCTGTGGTCTCGCAGGTTTTGAACATGGGCAGACAACTGTGGTCTTGTAGTGTGCGCTGGGAATTTCACTAAGGAAATGAGGAAGGGAGGGTCGGTGGACCCTGAATGGGAGAAAAAAGGCCTGAAGAAATGATTAAGCCAATAATTAAAATAAGGTTGATAGTTTTAATTTATTTTGCGATTAATTGATTTATTGTTTATTGCGACAAACCTATACGCCAGGGACAGTAAAGACAGATTAAGCTAAAGGTTTAGAGTTTAATGAATGTCAAATAAAAAAATTATGTAAATTAAATTGCAACAGTAATGATTAGAACCAGAGTACTTAATCAGATAAAGCCCCTGCACCGGAGTATTTTATAATAATGTAACATCAAATATTACAGATTATAATAATAGGAGGGAGTTGTTAATTGTAATATCTGATACCAGAATTTTCTTTACAGAACTCATAGCCATCGGACATCAGACAATATGGGGCAGCACAGTGAAAATATTTAGCTGTTCAAATCTTCCTTCACCTCCCAGGTTGCAGTTTGAGCAGCTGCTTAATGTGAGAACCAGAAACAGGAAAAAGATCCTCCAAGTTTAGACATGACAGCTGCTTGGAGGCTTTTTCTGGTCCACCAGCAGCCAGCCTCTCCAAAAGAAACGCCATCAAATAGTCAGGATCACTAAAGGTCAGGAAAAAAATGACAGGAAATTCTCACCAACTGGAAGGAAAACATGCATAAAAATCATGGATAACTGAGGACTCATTCTGCATGTTTAGTCATCAAGCAGTTTTTCTTAAACTTTGCCCAGATTATTTAACTAAACTGAGCTAAATCAGTCAATGCTTCACTATTGAGCAGAGAAGAAATTCCTCAAATGTTTGTTTCAGGCTCAGCTGCTGCAGTCAAACTTTGGGCCTTAATTTCAGACAACTGGCCCTGTCTCACACACACACACACACACACACTGAACCCAACGTCTATAAAGACACCAGAAACCCGTGGAGGTTCAATTCATCTCTTTTCACCCACAGACAGCAGGAAGGAATCAGCTGCAGGGAAGATGGCTGAGTGAGTCTCTGTTTAACGTTGACTGTCTTTGATTTAAAATAAACCCCCGAAAATCTGTTCCAAAGCTTCACATTATCCGTTTTGTTTGGAAAGGAAGAAGATGTCGCTGAGCCGCAGAAATCATCTCAAGGTATTTCTAATGTTGGTGTTAATCTGCCTGGACTTCTGAGGTTTTAAATTATTTTACTTCTTGGATGCAAATAGTGAATCAAATCAACATTTAAAGGTCAGACATATTAATTTATACAAACTGATGCCTTTTGGAATTAATATGTATGCTTTTAGTCAGTCGCTGCCATTTATTTTGTGCAATGCACCTTTAGGCTGATGCCACCTTTGCATTTGTGTACCACTAGAAGAATAAAGTTTCCTTGCAGAATTCTGGTTTTTACCTTTTTCAATTCATAATTAAATGTTTCTACCACAGTGTATTATGGCCATTGCAGGGAAAGAAAAAGGAGTAGTACATTTTCAGAAAATTCACACATTTTTCACATAACATATCTGAGACTAATCTAAAAAAATTCTGATTTCTGACTCACGCATTTTCTTCCTTTGAAACTCAGAAATGTCTTAAGTTTCTCCTAAAAAAATTCTGAGACTGATCTCAAAATATATCTTTTTCAACAAACTTACCACTTTTAAAACTCAGACATTTCAGAAATTTTGTCCTATAAAATTTCAAAAATTAATCTGAAACATTCTGAGTTTGTTCTCACAATGTTTTACTTAGGTTAAACCCTTAATGACCATCATTTTAATTGATAGATGAAATCATTAAAATTTCTCAGGATGTCTGAGACTAATTTTTTTAATGATCTAAAACCTTCCAGTTCGACATTAAAGCATATGGAGAACAAATCTAAATGGGAGTTTTTGATCAGGCGTTTGGACAGTTTTAGCTGCACGTTTCCATTTCTCCTGTCAGAGTCTGCTGCTCCAGATCGGCAAAGAAATGCTGGAGGAGGAGGCCCGGCGCGCTGAGGAGGAGAAAATGGCGTACATGAGGGAGAACTGCCCCCTCTCCTTCCCACAATGCACCCTGGACCTACAGGTAAACAAACTGAACGTGTTATTTTGCTTACAGGTGGAGTCATTAACATAGTTGCACAAACCTTGTAATCCAGATAGGATTTCTACATTTCTTGAAACTGATGACAGATTTTTTGTGTAATTTTTCAAAGTGGTCCAGGATTCCTGATGCTCTTTAAGTATTTTTTTGTGAATTTGATTGCGTTTTTAGCCCCTTAACTCTGAATAAATGCTGAAAAAGAATAAAAACATTTAAAAAGTTTAGGCAATTTGCCTTTTTTCTCAAGATGAATTGAAATTATTTTTTTCAAAATAAAAGTTTGAAATACCTGTGCCTTTTTCTTTTGTCTGTATCTTTAAGTAATTTCAAACTTTCCACACATCATATGCATTAGCTATATAAGCTAATGCAAGTTTAATTAGCTGGTTATGCTAATTTAACTTGCCTAAGCAGCTTATTAGCCAAATCGGTCAATGCAACTGGTATAAATCTAAATTCTCAACATGCTGTGAATGTCAAAATAAAGATAATTGTTAAATCTTGCTAAAAAGTTTGATTTGGGCATTAAAAATACCTAACCTGTGACAATTAAATAATCAGCACATTTTTCATTAATTTAACACCAAATGGTTGAAGACAACTCTAATCCTGTTTGTGCTTTTTAACCAATATTTGGGTTGGCTGTTATTATATATCTAAACAAGCCGAGGCATAAATTATCCAGAGGATTGAGCTTCTTTTGGACCATAAAGCTCAGTGTTGCTGTGTTTCACCAGGAGCTGTGTCGGCAGCTTCACAAGCAGATCGATTTGGTGGATGACGAACGATATGACATGGAAATGAAAGTGAAGAAATGCAACAAAGAGGTTTTTATTTCATAAATAATTTTTTTATATATTAATGTTTCTTCAATAATTTTGAAAAAAACATTTTTTTAATCATTTATATTGTTAGATTTAACATCATAATGCAATAAAATGGTCAAACCGGATAATTTAGATGCCTACAATTTGGTTTAAAATGCCATCTGGACTGATCGTCATCACCTGACTGAGTATTATCTGTGCCAGATCGACGACCTGAAGATGAAGGTCCAGGATCTGAACGGCAGGTTTAAGAAGCCCACTTTGAGGAGGGTGAGGATGTCTGCTGACGCCATGCTGGCTGCCCTGCTGGGCTCCAAACATAAAGTGTCCCTAGACCTGAGAGCCAACCTGAAGCAGGTGAAAAAGGAGCTGAAAGAGGAGGTGAGAGCAGCACATGCTGTAAACTTCAACAGAAAGACTGTTTATGACAGAACTATGAAAGCTGTGTTTATGTTGCTGTCAGGGGAAGCAGACGGGCGACTGGAGGAAGAATATTGAAGATAAATCTGGGATGGGCGGGAGAAAGAAGATGTTTGAGGCAGAGGCTTAAATGATATTGACTTCTATGTTTTTTAAAAAGGTAATGCATTACAATAAATACTTAATTGTACAAGTAATTTGATCTTTTTGTTGTTTTTTTAAATTAAATAATAAATTACTGTTCCTTCCTTCCTCTTTTACTTCTTTCCTCTTTTCTTTGAGTTCTTTTTCCTTTCCTCTCTCTTGTCCTCACACTTGTCCCTAACTTTTTGCTCTTATTTTTTTTTATTAAATATGAATATTTTATTTGATGACAAATTGAAATAACTAGATTTGATTGAATTATCTGGTTGTTTTTCCCAGTTTAACAAACGAAAGTTACTACTGTAACTACGGTTCTATGAATCCCGGAAGACCGCCAGAGGCGCTGCTTCAAGCACTGAATCATTCTTGCGCATGCGCAGGTCGAGTACTAATGACAACAAAGTCACCTGTGACCTGCCGGGGACCCACGTGACTCTATATAGTCACATGACACCCGGCATTCAATCCCTCCATCTTCTCGCGAAGAGCAAGAATTCCGAGGGACCAAGCACTCTGGCGGTCATCCGGGATTCATAGAACCGTAGTTAGAGTAGTAACTTTCGTTCTATTTCATCCCTACTGACCGCCAGAGGCGGCGCTTCAAGCACTGGATGACTCATAACAACAAGGTCACGAGGAATTGGCAACATCCAAGGGATAACCACCACACTACCCACCTCAATGTGATGTAGGGGTATGCTGCTCCAGAATTCCTTGAAGGGGATGGGGCGCAGCCACATTCACCCTGTAAAACCGAGTAAAGGTACTAGGCGACTTCCAGGAGGCTGCACGGCATATAACGTCCAACGGCACCCCAGTCATGGCTGCAAACGAGGTCGACATTCCCTTGTAGAGTGGCACCTCACACCTGCCGGCAGCCTCTGGTCCTGCAAGGCATAAGCCTTGGAGATCAAATCCACCACCCAGTGTGCAAGACGTTGTTTAGAAAGCGCTTGACCCCTCCGTGAGCCAGCATAGCAAACAAAAAGGCTATCTGTCTTTCAGAAGGATGCCGTGGCATCGATATATGCCTCAAGGGCCCGAACAGGGCACAGTGGCTCAGAGGAGCTCCGGTGCGAAACCGAGCAAGATGGAGCGCCTGGGTACTGCCTGCCGCCTGTGACACCTTAGGAACAAATGTTACATCCGGCCACAGTGTAACACCTGAGCCATCCGAATTCCACCGGCAACAGGGCTCAGCAATCGAGAGAGCCTGTAATTCCCCCACACACTTTGCGGAAACCATCGCTAAAAGGAACGCTGTCTTCATTGAGAGCCATTTGAGGTCCGCAGATGCCAAGGGCTCAAATGGGTGGGACCGAAGAGCATCAAGCACCAGGGAAAGGTCCCATGCCGGTGCCACAGGACGATTGGGTGGGTGCAAACGTCGAGCACCTCTCAAAAATAGCACAACGTCCTTGTTCCGGCCCACTGAACAACCATTCAGACCGGCATGCCAGCAGGAAATGGCAGCCACGTACACTTTCAAGGTAGATGGAGACCTTCCCCGATCCAGTAATTCCTGCAGGAAGGTCAGTATGTCAGAGACCGAACACTGCATCGGATCCCGCTCTTTTTCATGGCACCAGGTTGCAAAGGTCGCCCACTTGTTGGCATAGACAGTTCGCGTGGATGGCGCCCATGCATTAGCCATTGTACGTCCTACCGACCCAGTGTATCTGGAGAAAGTGGATCCCTGCCTTGCAGGGGCCAAATCCAGAGTTGGAGCTGATCCGGTTTGGGGTGCAAAATCCGACCCCCCATCTGGGAAAGAAGATCCCTCCTGGAGGGGAGACGCATTGGTGAGCCTGAGCTGAGCTCGCGAAGGAGAGGAAACCAAGTCCTCGCTGGCCAGAAGGGGGCCCACCAGCAGAACCCTGTACCCTTCCTGACGAATCCTCAGGAGAGTCTGGAAAAGTAGGCTGAACGGTGGAAAGGCATAAAGGAGGGTCCGGGGCCAGTCGTGTGCCAGCGCATCGTGGCCCGGAGGACCGCTGTCGTCCAAGGAGAACCAAAGGGGACAGTGAAATGCGTCCCTCAAGGCAAACGGGTCCACGTCCGCCCTGCCGAAGGCCTTCCAAATGAACTCCACCACCTCTCTGTGAAGTTTCCATTCGCCTGGAAACGGCTTCTGGCGGGATAGAAAATCGGCCGACATTCTGTGGCCCGGGGATGTAGGCTGCCCTGAGGCTGGCCAAGCATGGGGCTGCCCAGATCAGGAGCTGCTGAGTCAAGTAAAACAGTTTCCTGGACCTGGTCCCCCCCTGGTGGTTGATGTGAAAAACCACCGAGGTGTTGTCTGACCTCACCAGCACATGCTTCCCCCGCAAGCCTGGAAGAAAGCTCCGGAGAGCCAAAAACACAGCCTGCAACTCCAGGAAGTTGATGTGTTCCCAGCTCTGCCGCTGGGACCATGTTCCCTGTGTCATTTGACCCTGCCATGTTGCACCCCAGCCCATGGAGGATGCACCCGTGAACACAACTTCTTGACGACACGGGAGGGAACCGAGCGGGACCCCTTGTGTCATAAACAACCTCACCCTCCACTGGGCCAGAGACTGAAGACACTGAGGGCCACCCGAAGTCTCCTGCGACGATGAGCGTACCTTGTGGAGTCCAGATTCAAAGTGTTCAACCACATCTGGAGGGGACGCAATGACAGCAGCCCCAAGGGCACCACGGCGGATGCCGCCGTAAGCATGCCCAGGAGTCGAAGATACCGCACAAGAGGCGGTGCCATACCCCGCCTGAACTCTGGGAGCATGCCCAATATACTGTTCACCCGTTGAGGTGACGGGCAAGCAGTCATTGAGATGGAACTTATCGCCATTCCCAGGAAGATGGTCCCCTGGGAGGGAGTCAAACTGCTCTTCTCTATGTTCACCTGCAAGCCCAAACATTCCACATGATGGAGCACTAACCGAGCGTCCCGGATCGCCTGGTCCCGTGATGCGGCACAAACGAGCCAGTCGTCCAGGTACGGGAGTATCTCAATCCTCGTCTCTGCAGAGGAGAGAGGGCCGCTGCGATACATCGGGTGAACACTCTGGGGGACAGTGAAAGTCCAAAGGGAGGACCCTGAACTGGAAGTGTCTCCCTTGAAAGGCAAAACGAAGAAACCGCCAATGGGGCGGGGCAATGGGAACATGAAAATAAGCATCCCTGAGATCTATGGAAGTGAACCAATCGCCCGGGGATATTGCTTGCAACACCTCCTTGGTGGTCAGCATATGAAAGGGCATTACCTTCAAGTATATGTATAGTTAGGGCCCGACGACGGGCCCTTCAGCCCGTCGTCGGGCTGAAGGGCCAGCAGAAGATGGGAGAGTGAATTCCCAATCCGGCCCATGCGGGCCCCAGGGTCATAGGCCTTGCAGAGAAGGTCATCAGTAATACGGCACTGAGGCCGTGGACAACGAGCATTGGGCCGCAAAGCCTCATCAGTGGGGATAATTAGAGAGGCAATGCCCGGTTCCACCGCAGGCATCTGCCCCAAGCCAACCTTGGGCGCCTCCTGCATAGACGCCAGAACCCTGCCATCCGTCGTCAGACGTGACAGTGCCTTGGTATCAGACCAGCAAGCATGTAGTTCCCTAATATACTCCTCTGAGGGAGGAACCACAAAGGCAGCCTCAGATCTACCACGCCTAAAGCAGGCGCTGGAAGCTGCAGGTTGGGTCTGAGGAACACTAATCTGTAAACGAGCAAGAGCCACTCGAATAGCGGCAGTCACAGACTCCCCTGTATCCTCCTGGGAGGCAACGGAGTCAGACTCTGAGGCCCCAGACTCCAACCCTGGAGGTTCATCACAGAAAAGGGTGCCCGAGGCCGCCACCGAAATAGCATCATCATCATTAACCGATGCCTCATCCTGCTCTGGAGGGAGAGTTGCGCAGTGCTCACCATCAGCTCTAAAGGACCGGAGGAGGGCCTTCATGTGGGTTAGCTCCGTAGAGAGGTGATCCACCTTCGTAGACAACCTCCCTGCATCGGTTCGTCTTGCTCGCTTCGCAGGTACTGAAGTCGCAGTCTTTACCGTAGGGCGTTTGCCCATCGCCTGTCCCAGCGGCAGCGAACCATGTGGCACAGCGCCCAAGCAGTCAGTAGGCCGCTCCAGCGCCGCCAACCGATCCAGCCTGACCGAGCGGGGCATGATGAAACAGTTGGGGCAAGCGTCATCTGATGGCGCCTCCCGGAGATGTTCCACACCGAGACAGGAGGGACACAAGTCATGCCCGTCGTCGGGCTGAAGGGGAGCCAGACAGGTCGAGCAGCATAAATTATCTAGCATCATATCGCTGAAAGGCGTAATCCGTCCGCCACCAACGAGAAGTCAACACGAGCAGAAAACGCCACTGGCGACCCCGTTGTAGGAAAACATCCGTGGAGGCTAAGAACTCAGCGCGAGCAGAAACGCTACAGGTGAGTCAGAATACAAACTGAAAATCAACTCAATGCGAGCAGAAACGCTACAGGTGAGTTAGAATACAAACTGGTGAGTCAGACTGAGTCAAAGAGCCACAACGATTAACGTGGCAAATCAAAGCGAACAGCAAACTACTGATGAGAGAAAAAACAAAACACTTACCAGTCGTCGCAGCGGCGACCGCAGATCTGGTAAAGGGGTAAAACAGCTTGTGCAGCCCCTGGAGGGCGAGACTTACGCCCGCAGCTCCGACCAAATTCGGTCACGGGGCTACTAGCAACAAGCAGCTAGACAACAGTGGTAACACAGAAGCAACTCGCTTCACACTACCACACACCTGTGCGCGAGAAGAACAAAGGGATTGAATGCCGGGTGTCATGTGACTATATAGAGTCACGTGGGTCCCCGGCATGTCACAGGTGACTTTGTTGTCATTAGTACTCGACCTGCATGCGCAAGAATGATCATTCAGTGCTTGAAGCACCGCCTCTGGCGGTCAGGAGGGATGAAATAGAACTGATTTTAAGGAAACATGAAAATGGAAAATATGTGCAGTTTAAAACATGACCAGCAGGTGGCAGCACTCAACTCAGACATGAGGAATTCATCCTTTTTTTCTCCCCAACTTATCAATTTGAAAACTGTGGAAGTTGACAGTGATTATCCCTTCTCTATTTA